CTTTATTAACTATCAGGAACAGAGCAAAAGCCTTGGACAGCAGCAGCTCTTTTATAGAGCTGGCTACTGTCCCATTAACCAATGAATTGCGTTGGAGCGTTTAAACTGTGCCCAATGGGAGACGACCCGCTATTAGCCAATCAGATTGCCCAGAAGAGACCAATCATGATTCGCTATTTATGGGCCAATCAGAAGTGCAGGATTATGAGCCTGCTTTTCTAGTAAGGTTGTCAAGCTTTACTAAATGCATTTACTTAGTTCATAACAATGCTTGTTTCTCAGAGGCTGTGAACTTGTGGATTAGGCTGTATAGAATTTCTCATTTCATGGAGTATGGCAAGCCAGCTGATTTATCCTTTCCTTGAGTGAATTCCAGGAGCCTGGTTGCCACCGACAGAATATCTATTACTTGTTTACCATTCTAATATTAACCACAGAAGTCCAAAATCTTGGGTTCTTTTTATATGTCATTTGTTGGACTACAAAATATTATAATAGATTTTTATTATGCAGTATTATTTTAAGTTATACTGTAAGTTGGTCATTGATCACAGCAAATTTATCTAATTTTGGGTATACAGCAATTAAATTTAAACCTGTTTCTATTCTTAGACAAAACTACTCCTACTACTAAGCTTTACTTTAAAAATTATTGAGGTGGTAGTGGGCAAGCAGAATTTGGTCAGAGCTGAAATATGGGGTTTTTAAAAAATGGACTTTCTTTTAACAAGCCTTTTGTCTAAAACAGTAAATAGCTAATAATTACAAGCTTAAATCAGCTAAGTAAGTTATACATAAGCAATTTCAACTGAGATCTACTGTTTATGCTTGACTGTTCAGGAGCAGTGACTGTCACCACTACTAGAGCTCCCTTGACAAGCCCCAAAACAATCCTCAAAACAAGTACTCTAGCAACGACCACCACAACCAAGCCACCAGCCACAACCTCCAAACCAAAATCAACAACCAAGCGTTCACCCAAAATTAATCCAAAACCAGTGTTTTTAAAGAAGAAGAAGCATAAGACGGTGTCTCATGAAACTGTGGAAGGTAAACTTACCTGAATTTTTGTGGAGGCAATAAATGTGTTTTAGCAGTCAATGTATACACACACACACATACATACACACACTCAAATATAATTTCCTTGTCTATACCTCATGGTTCAGGAAAAAGACACAAGTTGGAATTGATAAACACTTTTTAAAATTCAGTCACAATGATCCATCCTTTCAATGGTTTCCACAGAATCTAATTTGCAATATTGATTGCTATGGTTGGCCTGTTAGCCAAATACTTATCCATCTTGTATATTTTTTTGGAACTTAAGTGTGTAATAGTTTGATGAATCTACCTACTCAACCTTCTGTTTAGGGACCTTCCTTGACCCCACCCCTTTTTTTTTTGACACGGACTGCATTTGACTTTAGCAGAAAGTGTTCCTTTGTTCTCTCACTGCCCAAGATTGTTGCAGAAGGCCTGATTCTCCAGAATAGAGAACTGAGAGTGCTATGAGCCTCAAAAAGAGAATGGTAAGAAGTTTAAAGAACAAAAGCAGTATATGAAGTGGTGATTGATAGAAAGAAATCAAGAATATTTTGCAACAGAAAAATATGAAGCATAGTGAATGATCCTAATGTAAACCAATTGTAACAATGTTTGCTTTATTTTTCCTTACTTTATGCATTTCTTATCCATGTCTACATTTTGCATAATGTTGTTTAATCTAAAAGTAAATAGTGTGACAAATATGCACTCATAAATGTATATATATGTATACACACAGAGAAAACACTGTATTTCATTACAGTTGTTTTGAAGTAGGTTTTAAGATGGAAGAGAAGAGAGAAAAGCTAATGAAAATCTTAATTATGTAGATATACTTACATACCTATATTTTCATTCATCATTGGCTTTTTTCATTTTGAACCCTGCAGACCTTGAGATTTTGGTTTGTAAGTATTTTTTGGATTGGAAATTATAATAGTCCAGCAGGTATCTAAAAATGTTGACTTGGAATATCAACATTCAAAATCTGAAATATTTACAATTTATATATTTATGAAGAGTCAACTTCAGGACAAGTTTTAGGATCCTTCAGTTTCTACTCTGAAAAGATACAAAAGTCATACCATCCTGTTTTCAAATATTGTCCACATTATACATCTAATGGAGCTTAATATTTTTGATGCTAATAGAAGCTTATCAGCAGTTATGTTATTTCTACACAAAGCCTTTGAAGAAATGTATGGATTGAGAAGGAGATGTAAAGAAAGCCTGGGTGCCCTTCAGCATGGCCCAAATCAATTTAGGGATGTTTTACAGGGAGTTGTTCAAATATGATCGTAATGTAATCTACCAAATTATTATTGTTTGCCATGATAACCTTATATTACACACTATTGGTGTGATTTTGCCAAAAACTGGAAGTGCTAGTTTTTGTCAAAACCATCGTGAAATGCATTCATGTGACTGTGGGATGCTGCAAACGGCTGTACATGTGGCCATGGTTGTGGAGGTGCCACAATCATTGGAACTTTATGGATCATAAGTCTCCTTTTTCTGGTCTGTTGTAACTTCGAACAATTGCAAAGTGACTGGTCATAAATTGAGGACTATCTATAAATGGAACCACTGAATATAAAATTTAAGACAGTTGGATGATCTCTGCATGATCTTAATTATTTTAAAGTTTTTTTCTTCTTAAAAATATAGCTGTGGGATCAAATTTGGAAGCTTTGGTGGGCCATATCCAATTTTTTTTTTTTTTGGGGGGGGGGGGGTCACATGCAACCTAAAGCCTCAAATTATGTGTGCCACCTTCCCAGGGACTCCATCTGTGAACAAGAATTATAATCTCTAGAATGTTTATCTTTCTGATGACTGTAGAGCATTCTGAACAGTCTTCTGCGTCTTCAAAATCCTCATCGATTCGGAGAGAAACAGCTTCATTAGGAGAAACTGGGGATACAAGCAAGAATAATGATAAGGCAATAGAAGAACAAAAAATCAGAGGTATGCCTTCTGACCATTTTTACACATCCAGGAATAAGGATTGCATCGAAGCGACATATAAGTAATGTACATTTTTCTATCTTGAAAAAGTATTTCAAAATTTAAAAATAATGGTTGCTAATCTTTACGGGTGTATTCAGGATAAGGTAAAAAAAAAAGTCAATATAATGAGCATGATGATGTGAGCAATGTTCTGTTTGTGTCTTACATGTGTTGCATATGCAATGCACATTAAAAAACAAAAACAGACAGAGCTTTGATTCCACTGTTTCAGCCACCATCTTGACTTATTTTTAACCACACCTTTGGATCTTTCTGCTAATCTTCCAGTAGAGAGTAAGTATAAATAAACCTTGAGGATTTTATTTGGAGTATTGAGTAGATGTCAATAAACCTAAAAACATGTTAGTGCAATCTGGAAAGCTACAAGCCAGAAGACAAAACATTTACTTCTCTTTTGTGTTTTCATTTAAAACAATTTCCATCACATTGTAAAAAAACTGGAAGAAGTAAAGTTGATATTAGGATGTCACAGAATTTCAAATTTGCCTAGTCTATTACTGGTGTGTTCTTTTATGACATTTGAAGCCTTGGAAAGCTTCAATTTCAGAGGCCAGTGGTTGAGGCAAAAAGAAATGAAGGTTTCTACCTCCTGCCCCCCTTTGATTTACATTAATTGCAAAACCATGTGGTAAAAGTATAAACCCATTCAAATATTTTGATAATATTCAGAAGTATTTTGAGCTTAGATTTTTTTTAATTGGATCATACAGTAAGAGAAATTGTGTCAATAAATAGCTAATCATTCCGTAACCTCTTTTTTTTCTCTTCTGAAATACAGAATTAATTTTGCTAAACATCACAAACTACTGGTTTGTTAATTGGTATTCAACTAGAATTACTTTAACAGAAATCTGTAAAATGTGTTGCTAATGCTTTTAGACCTGGTGATTCCTTTCATCATTTTAAATCTATGGGATCTGAAGCACTGTGTTGAAAAGTTGGCAGGGGAAAATTTTTTGAAATGAAAAATAGAATGTTTAATTTTCTCCCCCCCCCCTTTTTTTTTTTTTTTCTTAAGCTCATGAAGCATCAAAATCAAGAAGAAAATCTTCAACATCCAAAGCAGTGAAAGTGATTTCAGAGGATGATGGTAGTGGGGAAGGCAATGCAGTAACAACAAAGGCTACCACAACTACTATAAATATCACTACAACAAGGCAGCCTTCTGTTACAACCACAACAAAGATTTCACCTACCACAACCACAACAAAGGTGCCATCCACCACAGCCACAACAAAGATGGCACCCACCACAGCCACAACAAAG